GGATTCTTTGTGCACAAATAATGTTGACTTCTCCCTCTGTTGTGGAGGTACAGGGGACAGACGTGAAAAGGAAGAGGCACAATGAGTAAAAGAACAACAGGAAACCAGAGCAGTGACAATGCTGCAGTTCCTCACCGGAAAGCCGCTTTCATGAAGCCTCCGTCCCCTCCTCGCTAACTCTCAGCTCCTTTCTCTTCCTCCACAGTTCCCCAGCCTAATCAACGGACACATGCCTGTCCACCTGCCAACCCTGGAAGGAACACCCTCCTCCCTGCTCCTGTCCCCCACCACCCACAAATCCTGATCCAGGATCCGGTGAACCTCCCCATCTTCATCCATCTCTTATTCTCACCGTCATTAGCAGCAACCTCTTGCCCGTCTTGTTCATTTTGTGCTTCAGTAAAGTCCCACAAGACGGTATGTGACCTCACTTTTTTGCACTTGAGTTGCTTCAGATTCCAGTGGTTGAAAGCACTTGGTAAAAGCCATATGCCACGATGTCTGTGAGACGTCTGGCTCTCTGTGATGAAGTACAGCACATTTCCACATGACCCTTTCCACAACGGACAGCAGTGACGTGTAGCTAGCTGCAAAAGGCTAGCTAGCTGCTCATTCTGTGCAGAGAGCTTGTTTTTTTTTTATTTTTAAAAAAAAAAAAAAAAAAAGTAATCTTTTTTTTTTTTTTCCCCTTGAGTGTTCATCACGATGTGAAACTGGTTGTTTCACTTGTGGGGTATTGTATGCACTATGCTTCTCAGATAGTACCGGCTGTGCCTTGTTGTCCTATTTTTCCTTTCCAAACTCTTTTAATGAAGACGAGATTTCAAATCAATGAAAACCTTTAACACTTGTAATGTTCTTTTTTATACTGGACTTGGTATACAGTTTGTATTCTGTATAATTTTGTATTGTGAAGAATGTCTTGTCATTTTCAATAAACAAAGCATTGAATGCTTGCCTTTAAATTGAAGATTTCACAGTAGCTAAAACAAAATGTTAGGAGTCAAAAAAGACAAACCAGTTCATGTGATTTCTGTTTAAACTGTAGATTTATTTTTCTTTACTCTAGAAAAAATGATTCAAAAGGCAAATTCAATGAAATCCTGATGACAATGGTCAACAATTAAAGTCATATCATACAAAACCACAAATGATGAGAACAGCACCGTCGGAGGCAGAAATCAAGTGATGATGATGCTCCACGCCAACATCCAGTCAGAGAATGTAAAACAGCATGCTCTGTCTTCTGCTCTTGCCGTTGCCTGAGGGGAGACAAAGATGAAAGCATTCATTTTGGTTTGATATAGTTTAGTCTACCGCAGAGGACGTCCCCAACACAGGGACGACATCGAAATAGAGGGATAGTCTGGCAGAAACGTTTGGAAGAACAATTCACATAATGCATTGAGGGTTGTGAACAGGAAGTACAATGGATTCTGTCAGTTACGTTGTGGCTACAACCTGAGCACCAGTCTTTAAGCCGGTATTTGTTCAGATTGAGGAAAATTGGTGCGTTTAAAGTGTTTCTAACTAGCTATTAGCGGCTCCTTTTTGCAATGTTACCGTTGATTTTTCAGTACGAGTTGAAGAGAAGACGCAAACAAAATGTCATTGAATAGTATGTCGTTAAAAAAAAAAATGACAAAAAGTCACAATATAGTATGTCTATAGTAAATCTCATGAAAAACGTCATAGTATAATATGCCATTAAAAAAACCATAAAACTGTAATAGCATGTCATTGAAACTGTCATGAAACAGGTCATAGTATAGTACGTCATAAAAATCTCACTAAAAACGTCACAGTATAGTATGTCATTATAAAAGGTATTATAAAAGTCATGGTAGCATGACAAAAAATGTCATAAAATGTCACAAATAAACTTAGTGTAGCATGTCATTGTAATTCCAAAAAATTGTCAAAGTAGATAATGTTAAAAAATGTCAAAGTATAGTATGTCATATAAAAGAAATGACAAAAAAAGGTCATAATTTAGTATGTCATAAAAATGTCATAAAAGTCGTAGGAGCCAAAAAGGGACAAGTTAAATATACTGTTGAGACATAAGTACACTGTGGTTGCTATTACTGCCCCATGTGGCAAACCATGGCATTCAATTGTTAATAAAGTGGCACCTCTTGATGACGTCATGGTCTTGTTAGTACCAGCAGTGCACAAAGCATGGACGCAGAGAGCAGAAATAGTTGATCCAACGAGTTTATAATAAGTTACATGTTCATATAATAAAGGGCAAAGTTCATGTTATCCTGTGTCTTTACTTCAGGTTGCCGCAGCACATCCTTTGTTCTGTTGTTGTAGCGTAGTTTAACACACACACACACACACACACACACACGTTGCCCTTCTCCTCATCCATCCGCTTCATCTACCTGACAACAAACCGCGAGTATGGATGGACGTAACTATCTAACGAAACCTTGTTGAGCACGTTTCTTGGTGATAGAAATATGGCTAAATGGAAATAAAGAAGGAAGCCATCACTCGTAGTATGCCATTAAAGAAAGTTATAAAAATGCTCATGTCTTTAGAAACAACATTTAATAATTCATTGTAGTTTGTCATAAAATATCTCACAAAACGTCACAGTTTAGTGTCATTAAGATTTCATAAAAAAAGTCATAGAACCTGTTATAGTATTGTATGTAATAAAAACCTTAGTACACGTGAGATACTATCATTATTATGATGGGTGTTAGTGTGTGTCGACTTAGTATCTCATAATAATGAGATGCATATCTCATAATTATGACTTAGTGACTGAAGCTGTCCTCGTGAAGGCCGCATTGTTTAATTTTGCAATACAGTGTCAAACCTTCTCATTTACAGTCTGTGGTCAAAACATACCGGATTCCCCGTTGGAGAGTCTTTTGAGGAAACGAGTCCACTCAGGTTTGAAACGTCGCGTGTTGTTTATGTGTTGAAACAGGAAGGGAGCAAGTTGCCCTTCCTTTGAAATAATAAAGTTGGTATCAAAACAAACAAACACATAATCGTCTTTGGAGCCTGTTTTGTGCAAACATGTGTTACGTAGAAGAACTCTGTAGCACAGTTTGTTTGTTTTAAAGGACATAGAATAAAACAAGGTAAAACAGCAGTAGCTCCTAAGAGCAGAGGGGAACCAGAGCAACTTGTGAGCACACTGCGTGTTTACCGTGGAGCAGTGTGACGTGTTTAGAATACAGAAGTCTTTGCAGCGCTGCAAACTAATGAGGCAGATGTTTGTGATGTTGTCATGAGGTGAAAAATACACAATGTGGACAATAACGCATCAGAGGCAACAAGAAAAGCAAAGCCATAAAATTAAGAATTCAACCAGCCAAGAACACAGATATGTCAAGTTGAGTTCATTTGAGTTTGGCTGAAGGTCCAGTTAACAGGGTCCCTTCTTAGACCGTAACCCTGCTCTGCTACGCCCCGCCCTCAGTCACTAAGTCATTATTAAATAATGAGATACTAAGTCTCTCATAGTCTATAGTATCTCATTATTAAGATGGTATGTCATTATTAAAAAGGTATATTATTGTGTGCCATAAAAAACGTCATAGTATAGCATGTCATTAAAAATAAATCACAAAAAAGGTCATAATTTAGTATGTTGTAAAAGACATGTTATTGTACGTCATTGAAAATATCATTCAAATAGTCAAGGTATAATGGGTTATAAAAAAAAGTCATAGTATAATATGTATGTTATAAAAAACAATTTAGTATGTCATACAAATTTAACAAAAAAAGTCATAGTATAGTATGTCATAAATGAAATTAATTAAAATGATATAGTATGTCATTTATAAATATCTTTAAAACCTCATAGTGTAGTATGCCATTAATAAGTCATAAGAAAGAAGTTTGTATTGTGTGTAGTTTTGTATTGTGATGAATGTCTTCAATAAACAAAGCGTTTAATGCTCGAGCATGAACAGAAGCTAAAGCTAAATGTGAGGCAAAAAAGACAAACCAGTTCACGTGACTTCGGTTTAAACTTTAGATTTAATTTTCTTTACTCTGGAAAGCTCACATGGGAGGGCGTCTGCAATGAAATCCCATACAAATAACAAATAAAGTCAAAGAATATCATACAAAACATCTCTTGTAACACTGTTAAATAGACTGACGCAGTATCGTATTCACTAGGGAAGGACGAGAGCTAGTGCTCCCTACACCAGGAGTTCAGCTGCTGTGTGCTTCCTCATACAACAGAGCAGACATGCAAAACAACGAGGGAGGCAGCCCAGAACAAAAAAGGAAATATTTTACAGTTCATGGAGAGAGAGAGAGAGAGAGAACACTGGGGATTCACTTTGTTACAGACCGGAGGAGATGAAGCGTCAGGGTGAAGTTAAATATTTAAGTTTTCTGAAGAATTTAGGAGGCGTAACTAATCCTGTAATGCCCTTGTGTTTGATTCCATGTTGCCTTTTTCCTCCTGCATTTGTTCATCGGCGCCGACAGGGACAGCAGCATCCTGGAATGATATGCCAGCATCTGGCAAGAATTTGATCTTTGTGCACAGAGCAGGACTGCTCTCACATTAGCCTCCAGTTAGGATCAAACTATCAGTGACTTCGATGGCCTCAAAAAACCTTCAGAGTAAACTTGCACAAATGATGAGTGCAGCTGAGAACAGCACCGTCTGAGACAGAAACCTAACCCTTCTGAGTTGCTACAGAAACATCCCTCTGCTCGTCTGTGTGCCTCCCTC